AAAATGGAAGAAAATTGACGAATAATATTAATATTACTGGAATATGTATGAAAAATTGTGACAATTCAAAATTTCATTGTTTATTAGTGAAAGTGAGAATTGCTGATAGTTCGATCAGTGATCCGGTAACGGAAATGTCAAATCAATGATTCCGGCAACGACAATATTTGGCCATATTTGATCGTGAAATCAAAACAAAACAGAAATTTCAGCACTTTTTTGCATCAATTAATATGAATTAATGACTTGAACAAAGATCAATGATACAATAAAATTGTAAAACGATAGGAATAAACGTAAATTTACAAAGGAGAAAAATAAACAAATAAATGTACAAATTTTAAACAAAAAATAATGAATTACAGAAGAAATTATCAAAATTTGTATAAAAAGAATATTCGCAGGACAATAGCAGTTGTAGCCATTACTTTAACACCGCAAACATTTTTATCCCGATATAATCGATAATATCCATATTCATTCCATTTAGTACCCCAACTATTCTTAATAATCCAGTATGGCTTATTTATATATTGCTGGAATATGCATAAAAAATTGTGATAATTTGAAATTTCGTTGTTTGCTGGTGAGAATGAGAACTGCTGAATGTTCGATAAATGAACCGACAACGGTTTAGTAACAAATTTATTTTATTAATAAATTTATGTAGAATGCTTTTACTGACAAGTGTCGTCATAGCCATTACCATCATTTGTATTTCGTTAGCGCTCACGCTTTGTGAGCTATAAATACTTTTTTCATTTTTGAAGTCGTAGAATTTTCAAAGTTTCACGAATTTTTTGGTTACAAACAAATTTGAAAATGGATATGAAGTATAACAAATGATTTGATGAAATCATTCAGTGTATATATAAATTGCAAAAAATGTAGCAATGCAGTTTTTCTTTCTTCCTAATATTGCCTCAATTTTGAACGTTTGAAAAACTGAAGTGAAATGAAACTAAATTATGCAAAAAATATTGCGACAGCTTTGCATAAATTAATTTTCACAATGCAATACTACAACTAAAATGAAATTATTCAGTATGAAGGATTAAACAGCAACTGCTACTATTGCATTATTACACGTCGACACAGATTATCAATACAGATAGTTTGTCACTCCCATTTGGATGAGCATTTTTACAGACGATACTTGAACAATACCTAACAGAAGCAGCAACTGATCGTTTGTGTCAACGAATTTTATCCGGTAAGTTCTATTTCATTTATTTTGATAGAGAATGCCAAATGCATCTCAAAATATCGTGTTAAGAGAGATTTTGGAATTTCACGACGGACCTATTAATAAGCATTTTTTTTAAGAAACAAAACATTCTTATTAAATTTGTAACTATGAACATTGTGAAGACT